CAATATTAAAAAGCAAATTCCGTGTGGAAGACAAAGAAACCCATAATGAAGGAGGTTGAGATTATGAGAGTAGTCAGTCAAACTGCCTCAATCCCACTTCATACTCCCGTGAAGTCAGGGAAAACTGTCAACGCTAAGCCCATTTATGTACTGATTTGTGGTGAATGTCTTAGACCCGTTTACATTGGACTTGATTAAGTTTTAACAGACTGGTAACTCACTCTGCTTATATACTCATGGGACCCTTTAACCCTCAGCAACCTCAGCTTTTGTTCAACTCATGTCTTCATTTTAACTTTTCGCTCCCCATGGTGGAAACTATTCTTTATTATTTGATTTTATTGGCATTTTATTAGGAGCTCTTACAGATATTATTACAATCTATAGCTCCACTAGATCAGCAGTTTTCAACCTGTGGGTTGCGACCCCTTTGGGGGTCGAACAACTCTTTCAGAGGTTGATTCATAACAGTAGCAAAATGACAGTGATGAAGTAGCAACAAAAATAATTTTATGGTTGGGGTTCACTACAACATGAGGAACTATATTAAAGGGTCACGGCATTAGGAAGGTTGAGAACCACTACATTAGATCAAGCATAGTTGTACAATTGCTGCCATCATTTTCAAAACATTTTCTTTCTTTTTGAACTCCTTGATATCAGCTTCCCTTTTATCCCCTCCTTCCCCACCCTATCACCCCCCTGAACGCTTATTATATATTGCTGTTGTTGTTACTTATGCCATAACTTACATCATCCATGTATCCATTCACCTAAAATTCTGATGTTCATTCCCTTCAAGTGGGGTTATACAGTCATTGTTTCTATGAGTTCCCTTCCCCTCTTTCCCTCCATTTCTTCCAATACCCTCGGGAAATCATTTACTCCCATTACTGTTTCTGAAGGGTTTATATATCTTGGATTTTCTGCATTGAAAGATCTTAATTGTACCAATGTACACTAAGGCATAAGAAATAATTATTCTTGTAATGAACCCAGTCACAAGTGACATTTTTTAATTGCTATTTTGATTTCTCTTTCAAAAGGTACATGGAAATCCTTTTTCCAGAGGTCTGAGTTTTTGTCTTAAACTTTTCAACTTATATTTTCTTAATCAGAAGAGATGGAGAGATGTTTTCAGTTATTGTTTAATGTGTGTGTATATGTAGAGAGAGAGAACATTTATAGTAGTTTGAAATAAAAACACATTGTGTGAAAGCAACCCATATCTTGAGCAGTACAAATATAAAACATTATCCATGATATGAGAAGTGTGATTGCTTTACTATAAAATACATATATTTAAGCAAAACTTGAAATAGTTTTTGATTGGTTATATATCTTGATTTGATCTATTATAAAAGATGAATTAAGAACTTTTCTAATAGTAATATTCAGAATAAGCAATTAAATTAATATTTATTGAGTATCTATGCTAGGCTCTTTATAGATAATGGGTCTGAATTACTTTCACCTTTATCTGGTCCTTATACTTGTCAGTTAGTTTCTGTTAAAATTAGCTTTGAAAACAGTATAAGTCACCATGTATCTGATTCATAGGACTGGAAGGTATCAACTCTTTACTTTTAAAAGTTGGACCAGATTCGTACTTGTGTATAGTCAGTACATAGGAATTTTTTTTCCAAACCATATTATTGGGAATTAATACAGGTATATATCATTCCATAGTTCAGTCACATGAAGCAGTATTATACAGTTGCTGCCACAATCCATTTCAAAATACACAGGGATTTTTGTAGAAATAATTCTCTAGACATTTTAGCTCATTGAGCCCATTTTAAAAATGTGAGCACTTTGCAGAGGCGTCGGTCTGTCACTGAAGGACTTAGGTTCCCTTGGGTTAGGGGTGCAATAGCATACCAAAGGGAACTGCTGGGGGACCCGGTTACAGATATTGGCACAAGAATGAAGTACGAGAAGAACGCTGAAAACAAAACTGTATAGAGACGTGGGCTTCCCCTTAGGAAAACAGTTTTGTTTTTTATTATAACACTAATAGCTAATTATAAAATATATGTACCTTTATTTATTTGGTTTGTAATTTAAACAAATAAATACTATAAAGGCATTTTGATAGAGAAAATTATATATGGATTGGGTATTAGATGATGGTAAGGATGACATCAATTTGATTAGTTATGATAATCTTATTGTAGTTACATAAGAAAATGCAGTTTTGATAAAGATACATATGAAAATATTTCAAGGTCAAATGACACAATATCAAAGACTTTAAAAGTTTACCTTTTAAAAAATGGAGTAAAATGTGACAAAATATTAGAAGGTTGAATCTGGGTATACATATGTGGAGTGACTTTTGTTATTCTGTCCATTCTAGCATATGTTTGAAACTTTCAAAATAAAACTTAAAACTCATTGCCCTCAGAATCAACTCATAATACATATTTAATGCAGATTTGGGCAATACAAAATGGTAGAAAGAAGAAAATAAAAGTCAACTACAATCCCCTTCCCTGGTGATGATTACTACCAACATTTTTTGTTTTATTTCTGATATGTGTATAGGTACATTCATTCCCTTTCATTTTCTCTGTTAGGGGAAAAGCCTAGAAGGAAATAAATACATTTCATATATAATAGATACCATATGCAAGCAAAAACATTTTCAAGGCTAAGTCAAAAGTATTGCTACAAAATCATAGAAACATTTATTAACAGGAATATTCATGTGTGATGCTCTTGCGTCTTCATGTGCCCTCCACCCAGGTCCACCTACTTCAAAAATTCATTGGGGTAACTTTCTGGACCTTTATCTCACAGTGCAGTTTTCACTTTTCTTAAAATGTCTTCCTAATGTGATTGTCCTATGTCTTTCAAGGAAATCTACCAAGGTCACCCCTTTGAAATCTTAAAAAACAATAGCTATAACCTTCTGAACTGACTTGAATTTAACTCACTCACCAAAACCCTGGGAAGCCAATATTTTTATTGGACCTTTATTTATTTATTTTAAAGAAACCTACTAAGACAAATGTATTTGTAGCTGTCCACTAATCACAGATATTTTCAAACATTTTATTTGAAATAAACCATGTGTATGGTGCCTTAACAGCAATACTGCTTAATTTATCCTGAAATAATAGATAACAGTTTTATAAAAATGGGACAGTACTCTATATGCATTTTTCACATATCACTTTTCATGACTATCCACATTATAAAATAGAGCTTTCCATTACTGTTTTGAAGATTGTATTATAATCTGTTACATGAGCAATGCCATCATTTATTTAAAGCAGACCTGGTGGTTTTGTGTGTTAGGCATTGGGCTATTAACCTCCAAATTGACTGTTCAAAGTCATAGGAGGCTGTCTTTCCCATAAAGATATATAGTCCAATAATCCTGTATACTATGTCAAAACGGCAGTTTTGTCACCCCTGAGGAACTCAAGCCTTGTTCTTAAGTTTTGAGAAATGTTCTTTGAGTTGGAATTGACTCAGTGGCAATGGGTTTGGTGTTTAGACAATTTTTTTTTAATCATCTATTGTGGTTATTTTTTTTTTTTTTTTTTAAAAATATTTATGTAGCAAGCACGTTTTTATGTTTATCTGAAATTTTTTCTTGGTAGAACAGTTGGGCTAAGGAACATCCATGACCCGTCAAGTCAGATGTGTACCAGTTTTTACATCACCATCTGGGAGCAGTTCCTCTGGCTTTGCATTCTCTTGCTCTCGCGCTAATATCTAAAAGTTAGAAAGTAAGGAAAACTAGAGACATGATAATAGCCAAAGTCATTTTTTTTTTTGTCTTGTAAGTGCTTATCACTCTGTAACATGGACTACAAAGGGGTGTGTGGAGATACTGTTAAGATTTTTCATTATAACTTTTTGTTAGTCACAACCTAGCCAAACTTTGTTTAAAATTATAACTGCTTCTACCTAAATGCTATGGGAAATTCAAACTTGAACATGGCCAAAAAACTGTAAATTACATTTTAAAGGAATTTTTTTTTTTAATTTTCAGATTGCCTGGACTTTTGAGGCCTCTTCAGATTGCATTAGGAGATATTTACACACAACTGAAAAATCTTGTCCGAACTTTCAGGTTAGTATTAAATAAAAGTCTTCTAGGCTGTTTTTGACTTTATGAGATGGTTTTGCAGAATCCATAGGTAACAAAGTTACGAAGAAAGCTTTGTTGTGTCCCTTTAGTGTCTTAGATCTCAGTACAGTGTTCTGTTTGCCCCATGGCTCAACAGCATTGCATTGGTCCTCTGTTAAATACAATCCCTAATTTATACCCCACCCCAATTTTTTTTATCATTTTATCGAGGGGCTTTTTCAAATTTTATAACAATCCATCATTCAATTGTATTAAGCACACTTGTACATATGTTGCCATCAACAGTTCCAAAACATTTTCTTTCCACTTGAACCCTTGGTATCAGCTCCTCTTTTTTCCCCTCCCACCCACACCCTCCCAACCTCATGAATCCTTGGTCAGTTATATATTATTATTGTTATTTCATGTCCAACACTGTCCATTGTCTCCCTTCACCCACATTTCTGTTACTCGTCACCCTGGAGGATAGGCTATCTATCCAACCTTGTGATGAGTTCCGCCTTTCTTCCCACCCCCACCCCAACCATCCCCCTACCCTCATAATATCACTACTTTCACTACTGTCCCTGAGGATTTTATCTGTTCTGAATTCCATGTGTCAAAAGCTCTTATCTAACAACGTGTACTCCAGTCTAGCTGGATTTGTAAGGTAGAAGAACTAAGTTGTGGTAGTTCTACCAACCGGTGGTAGTGGTGGTTGGAGAGCATTCAGGAACTAGAGGAATTGTGTGGGTTTCCTTGGTGCTATCCTGTACCCTGGGTGAATTGTCCTTTCCTGGTAACCCTTCTGTGGGGGGTGTACAATTGTCCACCGATGGGCTCTGGGTCTCCACTCCATCCCCCTTTCACATCGATGTAATTGTTTGTTATGGATCTTTTGATCACTGATCCTGTCGACACTTCATGATCACACAGACTGGCGTGCTTTTTCCATGTAGGCTTATTTGCTTCCCGGCTAGTTGGCCGCTTGTTTAACTTGAAGCCTTTCAGAACCCAGACACTGTATCTTTTGATAGCCAGGTACCATCCACTTTCTTCACCACATTTGATTATGCACCCATTTTTTCTTCATCAATCAAGAAGTCATGTTTTCAGGATTCCTCAGGGACTTGGTTACTTTGCTCCTGTTAGTCTGGGTTGACTAGAGAAAGAAATCCAGATACACTTTATATCAAAGAGTAATTGTGCATTAAGCAAACATCCTAACCCAGTCCAGATCAAGTCCATAAGTCTGATATTATTCCATATCGATATAAGGCAATAAATTACTCTTTACACTCACGCAACCATGCAATGACACTGAATGCAAGAGGATCACAGGCCAACGAGTGGAAATTCTTGTGGATCCAGCGGCAGTGGAAGCATCTCAGCGCTGGCAGGGGTCTCCACGTGACTTGTCCAGCTCCAGGGCTCTAGCGTAGCTCCATGTGTCTTGTCAGCAGGAAAAACGAAGCAATCTGTGTCCCGCCTCCAGCGAGCTGCTTATCTCCTTAGCACCTCCAAAGTGAGATCATCAAGCTATGACCTGATTGACAGGTTAGACTCCACCCCTTCGCAAGTTGACACCAGATTACGTAATAACCACACTCCCTTTGCCACCATGTTGCACTCCCTTCACGTTTCACCCCGATGTGCATGGGCAGACCGGGCACACTTTCCACACAGTGTCTCCAGTGCTGTCCCCCCTAGTATTATGGGTCAGTGAGGGAACGTCATGTCTCATGGAGGGGCCGGCCCTACAGCCCTCTCAATTTACTCATACACATAGCTTTGGATAATTTGTTTGTATATGGGGAAACCTAGCAGTAACTCACTGCCATTGAGTCGATTTTGACTCAGCCACCCTATCTAGGGTTTCTGAGAGTGAGTCTTCACAGAAGACGACGGTCTCTTCCTTCTACGAAGCGCAGTAGCTGGTGGGTGTGAATCACCAGCTTTATGGTTAGCAGCCCAGTCCTTATCCCGTAGCACCACCAGGGCTCCTTAACCCACTAGTAAGCAGGGAAGATGATCAGTGATACAAAGACGGTTAGTCAGTGACAGCTACGATAAGATCTACAAGGGGGGCTTAAAAATGTTCTTAGAAAATCTGTATTTCAATTCCATTTTCCGTGAACAGTGTGAAGCCCCTCATCTGGCAGGTGCCAGCCGCACTGGCGAATACAAAAGAAACCTGATGCCCACACTCGCGAGGCACTTCCTTTCAGAAGATAAGGTGAATACAGTGAACATGCAACAGAGTAGGCAGTTTTTAATATTGACTTGTGTAGGAGTACAAGGTGCAGAAGTAGAAATAAAGGGATGCTAGAGAACTGTTATTACTTGAAGTAGGAATTTTCTGAAACTATTAATAAGGAAGGCAATACCCTACACTAAAAAGCATGGGACTAGGTGTCTAAATACTGTGTCAGGAGAATTGCACAAAATACACATTTTAGCAGTTGTCAGATGACCAAGTAATTGCCTAATACTAAAGTCTGATAGCACCAACATACATAATGAACTTCTGAGGTATAAGAATCAACCCATCCAAAAGATTATTTTTATAGTTTATTATTGCTAATAGTAGTGGACATATTTTTTAAGGCTTAAAATTGTAGTACAAGCATTCTACAGAATGTTCCTTAGAGGCAAGGATGGTGAGACATTGTCTCACGCAGGTTGTCAGGAGAGACCAGTCCCTGGAGAAGGACACTGTGATTGGTAAAATAGAGGGAGGGGCAGTGAAAAGGAGGAAGGCCCTCCCTTGACGCAGTGACTGCAGCAATGGCTCGAGCATAAGGTGAAGGCGAGGAGGGCGCAGGACCGGGCAGTGTTTCCTTCTGTTGTACATGGACTCGGAACCCACTCCTTAGCGCCAACCACCACCGAGGTCACACCGCGCACGTGTCCCCTTTCCACGGCAATAACACTTTCTAGCATACCACAGGCTAACTCAGGGAAAAGGCGTGTTTGGCTTTTTTAAAATAAATTTTTAAATTAGGGTGGGGGTTTACATTTCAGATAAAGCTTTTTAATAAAGTGTTTACTCGAACAATTTCACATTGGGAACCGCTGTCTGGTCAGTTATCTTTTTTATTTTCTCCCAACCGCCCTGTAGTTATAATCAATCCATCCTAGATCCTCACTAGTTCAGATCTGTTGTGGAATACATTGACATCAACTTTGGAGAAGATTGCCTTGCTTAGTGCAGCTCATCGGAAAACACAGACCCTCAGTGAGGTGAACTGACACAGTGGCTGCCCGGCGAGCTCCACAGGAAGGGTTGTGAGGGGATCCAAGACCAGGCGGTGTTCACTCGGTTGTGCAGAAGGTTGCGGTGAGTCAGGTTCTACCCGACCGCTCTGTACGTTGCCGTCAGGGTAACTCTGAATCACAGAGACCCTACATAGAGCAGAGTCGAACGGCTCCTTAGCTTTCTGAGATTATAAATCTTTACAAAGCGGACAGCCTCATCTATCTCCTCCAGAATGGTGGGTGGGTTTGAACCGTTTGCGTGACAGTTAGCAATCCACAGTGCCACCAGGGCTCCCGTTGATTCGACAGCATCTAGCAACCAAAACACCAAACCCACTGCCCTCAAATTGAGCTTTCAAATAGCAGCCCAATGCTTCAGCCAAGACTCCTTAAGTAGTTATATGTATGATAAACTAAACAACTTTATCTTACTGGAAGTTATATAAGCCTATGAGAGCAATTCTTTTAAGGGTTACTGGAGCCAAAATCAACTCATTGGCAGTGGGATGGTGGGTATAGCAGGAAATGAACGTTGTCGGGTGGGGAAGGCATTGGCATTATTAAGGGCAACCTTCCAGAAGGAATGACAGTAAAACTGAGACATGAGGATGATACTTAAGCCATTTGAATTGTATTGTTTCTCTCAGTCTCTGAAATGATGGCCTTATTGATGTAGTAATCCAAACACTGGTTTAGTTTCTGTGTTAGTCCAGGTGGACTAGCAGGGGTCCTCAAACTTTTTAAACAGGGGGCCAGTTCACTGTCTCTCAGACCCATTGGAGGGCTGGACTATAGTTTTAAAAAAAGACTATGAACAAATTCCTATGCATACTGCACATACCTTATTTTGAAGTAAAAAACAAAATGGGGCAAAAACACACGGCAGACTGGTTAAATCCCCTCGGTGGGCTGCATGTGGCCTGTGGGCCATGAGGACTCCTGAACTAGAGAAACAAATTCATATATAAAAGATAATTGTACAATAGAAAGCAGCCCAGCCCAGTCCACATCAAGTCCATATATCTAATATTAGCCCGATGTCCGATAACAATCTGTAAAGTCCTCTTCAGACTCACGAAACACATGCAGTGATGCTGAATGCAGGAAGATCACAGGCCAGTGGGTGTGAAGTCTTGTGGGACCAGCAGTGGTGTAAGCATCTCAGCGCTGTCAGGAATGTCCACATGGCTTCTCCGGTTCCCGGGGCACAGGGTCTATCAGCAAAGTGCCATGTGTCTTGTCACTAGAGTGTCTCTAAGGGAGTGAGCGGAGAGTCTCTCGCCTTTAAGGAGGAAAAACCAGATTTCCCAAAATTCTCAGGAGAAGGCTATGCCTACACAGAGGCCTCATTGGCCTCATTGTCTATATCCTGACTGACAGTCTAGACTCCACCCCTACTCTCGTAATCCTGAAATTGACACCAGATTATGTAACTAGCAGGGTTTCCTCAGATACACACCAAAATAACACCAGGTAGTCCATGTGAACAGAAGGGTACAAGTAGATAGAGAATCAAAACCCAGGATTCCAGACTCGTTTTCTGTCAAAAAAAAAAGACCCAGTGGGCCTAATGGAGTTGTTATAAAAGGTTCTGTAAGAAGTTCTACCATTCGTTGTATCCATAGTATTAATACCAAAGATGTAATGTATACACGTGTAGGTTTACTGACATCTATGTAATATGTGTAATAAACAGTAATACATTTGCTCTTTGAGGAAGACGCGGCTGCCGTCCCACCGCGCTC